ATATATATATACACGTATAAGCATATTTAGTGTATATTAAGAAACATAAGAGCCCAAATACTTGCCTTTCGCTCGCGAGCAACAGCTGAACCAGTTGAGCGTGTCCATCATTGCAGGCATCGTAGAAGAAAGCCTGAGGCACATTCAGCGGCGCAAGGGCCGAGGGGGATATGCTAAACTGCAGTGGTGTACTTTAGATTAATCCAGTGCTTCCGCTCACATGTGTATCGATGAGGACCTGATAGTGTATACTGCCTATCGCAAAGAGTCGAAAGTGTTTGTTTCAAGACAGCGCTAGTTCTATTCGTGAAGTATACCTGATTGCCTTCGCATAGATCGAGGTCTCTGGTCAGGCTACTGTGTGCGTGTGCATAAGCAAGAGCCTGAGCACGGCCCAACAAACGTGCAGGGCTGGTGAGCAAGCGCTGTGGGAGCCGAATGACTATAATCATACACACGTGCAAGCCTATTGGTGAGGTGCGATGGGGCTTAAACGAGGCTGTGCTATGCGCAGCCAAATACCTTTCACACAGCTATGGAACTGGCTTAGTCGCAAGTATTGAATATACTAGTGATGGTGATGGTCTGCTTCCGGTCTTGCATGTGGGTGTGAAGATTATCGACGCATGTGCACATACATACAAAGTCCCGTCAATTTATGGGAGGGCTACTTTAGATACCTCGACAATGAATACCGAAGATTCGTAAGCCAGCGTATGAGCGGCTTAAAACAATCGTACGGTTTACCTACGAGTACGCTTCGACTAACCTACATCACAAACCACGTAGCGCATGTTATATTGTATCCGTACATGGTCCTTAGCATCAATACCAGTGCAAAGAACGAGGCTGTGCCAGTGCATATTGGCAACCGGGGAGTTTGGAGTTATCACAATCTCCCTCATAACTTACAGACAGAAGCCTACCAATCTTGGATGTGTACAGGATGAATTGTACTTGAATATTCTACATTGTACACATGCAGCACACACCAGAACGCCCATATCTGTAGACTGTAACCTCTCACCGACCAACACCCGAAACATGTCATGTACATACGTTGTTTCCGGCTTGCTGGCTACTTGACCTACAAACTTATATCATGTACTGCCACATGCATCTTACAAAACCACATACCCACACATATCAGATACTTTCGAATTGTGAACACGTGAAGACAAAAAGAAACAAAGGCTGGGTGTAAGGGACAGTATAGGGTACGTACTTTCCCACTATAGTACAACCACTGATGGTTTTCAAATTCTCACATATGTTTACACAGACACACACATATAGTATTTAGTACGCATATGCATAAATGTAAACACACAAACACAAAAACACATACACTCACACATACACATACATACACACACACGCACACATATATAGTATATATATATATAC